TTTATATTGAATTGTCAGTTTCTATACATAAAAAAACACCTGTATTCATATTTTTAACACAGGAAGAAACAATTTCCAGCGAACTAACTACTGTGTACGAAACGTCAAGACAATCGTGTGGTAAAGAACTTAGTGGACCAGTTACGAAATATTTGGACTGTAGAACAACAATAAATAACGGAAAAATATTTGAATCATTGGAAGAAGATTCAGCCAAGGTGAACGTTGATGACGAACAACCGTACAGTAATGGTCAAGTTGAACTTCATGTGTCACCAAAGGAAGCTCTTAAAAATGAGAGAATTTTACCTTTTATCCATAGTTTGTATTTGCTCATGTTATCCATTCATGTTTGTGAATGTTTTTTATAAGGTAAGTATATCAACTTGATATTAATTTGTTTTTTCTGATATAAAGAAAGTTTCTAACTCCCAAAACTACGACTTGCATAAATAAATTAACATTATACTCATCATAAACCATCTTAAGATACTGCATGGAACTAAAACCTTATGTATGAAAATACTGATTGTGGTGTTCAAACCTAATATAAAATAAGAAGAGCTTGTAGTTACAAACTAAGTACCAACACCATGACTGTTTTGACACAATTTCACCTGATTAATGATTAGTTCAAAAATACCTTCTTACTGTTTTCCAGACATATGGACAGACGTTTATATCAGACGACACGTTTCTGTCCACTATTGGTTCTGTAGCTGGAGCTGTTCATGCCCTTAGCCGAGTGATTGTGGGCTTAATTCAGGACAAATTATCTTACAAGGTAAGAATGTGTAAAGCGAAGTGACTTGTGTTTTTTATTAATAATTATTTAAATAACATTTGTTGTATAAAGTGTATACAATCTTTATGGCTCAGCTGTTAACTAGAAAGCTTATAACGATAAAATTCAAGTCCCAATCCCTAGCCCGGTAACAACATAACCCATTTTTTGCTTTGCTCGTAAAACGAAACTAAATCTCTATAATACTACTCTGAGATACGAAAACAGTGAAAATAGTTTTAAAAAAATAAAATTTAGAAAACCACTGTTTTGACAGAATGTTTAAAATAATTCAATGTAACGCACAGGAAAGGATTATCCAAATAATATCAGCTCACATAACTAATCAGTCGATTTCATAAGTACTCAGTGTAGTTTTTTTTCCAGAGAAATCAAAGGATACAAATGTAAAATATACTTAACACAAAATCAGGACAGAATAATATGTATGGATATTAAAAACTTGTTTGGAATACACATTATAAATTTTTCATTGTTTATCTACCCGTGGTTTGAGGCTTCTTGTATTTTTAATTTGTTTTTTAACTTTATTCACATTGGTTTATATACATACAAATGTATAACTCTTTAGTTAACGATGCTCCTCTTGCTGGGAATAAAGACAGTATTGCTGTTCACTCTCGTGGCGACACCTTATGGAGGAAAGGTGACGTACATGATATGGATCTGTGGCCTCTTTGCGACATTTCCTCTTGTTTTTGTCTGTATTCCGGCTGCTGTTGCTGAAATTTTTGGAACGAAATACACTGTTGAAATTTTTGGAATGGTACTCTTTGCATCAGTAAGTGTAGAGCATGGATTACCAACACCATAAAATCAATCTTTTTTTATTACCGAATCGTAACTTAGCAGATATTCAAGTAAATGTTTCGCCAAAGAAAATATTCATCTTTATAGATAAGTTTCTTTAACGTTCTTTAAACCAATTTAGTGATAGTTTACTTATATTAAAGAAATGTTATCTTCTAGATTTGAAAATATCAGAAATAAAGTTGATAGTTTGCTACAATACATAAGATAAACTGTTAGAGTTTTAACTGATAATTCAATACTTTATATTCCAGACAACTTGTTTCTTTCTCTGGCCTTTAGTTCTCCATCGTATTACTTCTTCTTTAGGATGGTTTGCTACATTTTGTGTGACAGCAACTGTTTCATTCATAGGTAAGATAGGTCAGAATCAAGTGTTGTTATTCAAGGAAGAAGTGTGTTTGCTTTTATTGTATTTCAACATATTTGTTTCTAGTATTTTTTATGATTTGCTTCACTAGTACATTTCTATGTCTGTGACAATAAAACGACTCCTTATTTCCAAACTTTACAGATAAAGCAGCGTAACTTAACTCATGGTTTAATATTCACTTGTAAAAATCTCATACATATCTCTATTGGAAAAGAGAAAACAACCTATATTTTAGCAGATTTTATGTTGAAGTTTGAATCAAGTTTGTTATCATCAATAAAGTTTAATAAATGTCTGTCTCACTAATTGACTGAACTAACTTGTTTTTATAATGTTTAAAACTGTCGATATCTGAAACATTCAAGAGCAAGAAAAATATTTGTTATTTGTTTCCCAGGTGGACTAATGACATCTGGTATTGACTGAAAAACGTCGTCGATAATGAATATGTTGTACATAAGTGGTTGAGATATTATTATACAATGTTCTTCTTAGATAAAGCTTAATAGAGCAAAGAAGAACAAAATTAGTATTAAAAATTACACTAAGCCTAATATTGTTGTCTTGTAACAAATACAATTATCAAAATTAGTTTCGGTTACTTAAAGGATTCGTAAATGGTATCAACATATATTTGACTATGAGGTTGATTCAATTTGACATACATTATTTATATAATATAAATGATAATAAAATACTTTATTTATTAATCAATGTACATCATGTGATTGTGTAAGGATAAAGAATTTTTAATTTCACTCCCATATACCTGTTTTTGTCCTTTCATAGGGATACTTGTGACTATTCTCTTCCCTGAAACTGATCTTACACAACCATCAA